CTATAATTGCACCTATTTCCTTCCTCTCACTAATTCTTAACACTTCGACCTATTTCCCTCCACTCACTGACTTCTAACAGTTCCGCCAAGTTCTAAATAATTCCATATTACCTACCCTTTCACTCACTAACTTGCCTTCCTTTTCCCTCTATTAATTTTCCCTATAGAAGCCCCATCCTAAAACCCAGGCCCTTAGTTTTTGGAAATCAACACGATCAACAACGCCATTTGTCTGCTACTTCCTTCTACTACTAACGCTACTAGCGTTTCGCCTCAACACTGCCAGCATTCTTCTGCTGAACAGCTTGTGCGGCGCCCCGGTTCGTCGTTTTACGCGTCGTTCCACCTGTCCTATTTAAAGCGAAGCTCTTGTTGGAAGAATAAAGTGCTGACATTCTTCCCTGTCTTCCGCTGCTGCAGTTAAGGACCATGTGAGGGCCTAACATTTCAAGTAATCCAAAAAAAATATCATATACATTAATTGCGTGGTTTTTTAAATTCACAGAATAGCGATCCCCCCATGCTAATCCACTAGAGCTATGATCCTTACAAGATAAGGTACAGAAATTTCAGAAATTTCGGAAAATTAGTACAGAAATTAAAAAAGTACAGAAATTTCGTACTAAAAAATACAGAAATTTCGGAAAATTATGCCCATGGGAAGATTCCTATCCTCAATAATGCGCGAAAAATTCACTGTTCTCGATTTCAAGAACCCCGAAAAAACGACAAAAAATTGGGACCTGCTCTTTTAGAAGTCTTACAACATCACTTTCACTGTCATCTTTTTTCTTCTGTCTTAGATTGAGGAGTGCATTTTGCGTTTTCAGTCGTTCATAATCGGCATTTCGCTGCTTCTCCAGCTGTTGATTTTGGAAATGATTCTCTTTCTGGGCCTGTTCCTCACGCTCCAGCTGCTCCACTCGTTCCCTCATTTCGCCCAACTGCTTATGAAATTGTTCGTTTTCCTCGAGAACTTCACCGAAAAGTCGTTCGAGCTGGAAAAAAAATCGTGTTTTTTAGCTCAGTAAAACCATGAAAAGTTGCCAAATTCCATTACAAGTACCAAAAACTAAACGCAAATAAGGGGCACAAAAATTTCATGCACGGAAAATGAATGCTGAAAGATGACAGATTAAGCGCTTAAAACAATTCAAAACTGGTTTCCACTAGCAAAACCTCAGTTTCTTTTGCTTTTATTCATAAAGTCAGGTTTGCTTTAATTTACTTTTTAGTTTTCTAGGGTCAAAGGTCAATTACAGAAATGCGCGAAATTGGGGTCTCAAAGTGCAAAAATTCTCACTCCAAAACAAATATTGGGTCGAAGGTGAAGTTCGGATTTTTTTGGTGAAAATGCACAAAATTAAAGTTAAACAACAAAATTTTTCAGAAACAGCACACAATATCTAAAAGCAAGAAAACGCACAACAGATTACACTTGCAGTGCAACACAGAAAAAACAGACTTTTGTGATGAGAAGTCCAAAATGCTTCCTGAAATCTGCATAAATCAAGAAAAGCGCCTTTTTTTCGCAAAAAAAATATCACTAAAAAAACCGCCCTTCTACCCCCTTCCCTCCCCCTCCCCATTACCTTGATGAGAAAAATCAGCTTTTTTAACTAAAAGAATCAGAGTTTCGTCAACCCTTGCCCATTTCGCCACCGTCTCTATTTTTATCCGTTATATTTCACTCTTATCGCTACATCAAGCCCAACAGCTCACGATGGTACTAAAATCTAATGCAAGCGTAAATTTCTTTAAAAAAATTGTGCTATTTTTTGAAAACAAAAGGCCTATAATCAACTTGTTAAAATAAAAAAGCTAATATCCTTAAAGTACACGAACTTCGAAGTACTAGAAAATATGTATACTCATTACTGAAGGTATAAGATTACGATCGAAGGAACCACTACATTTATGCTCGGCTTCTCAGTTACACTACTAATACAAAGCTCCCAGACCGATTGCCCGGGGGCAATCCTGATATCTTCAATCTAAAATCCCAGTGTCAGCTCCTGAGATTAACTGAGTTAAAAACTCAAGGCCGAGTTGAAATATATTTCCGTCAGATGCAAAAATTCATAAATGTTACAGCTGCGAAAATTCTTCCTCTAAATGAAGAACTGATTTTGACCCAAAATAACAATAACCCGCATACACTTCCTCAAACAAAAAC